CACCCTCGAGGAAAAAAAAAAAAAAAAGAAGTTTTTTTTTTTTTTTAAGTCAGTGCTTACCGATTATTTCGTGTGGTCCCCTCCACTCCCCTTTTTTTTTTTTTTTTAGAGTAGAACCATGTCAGTGGTTCTGGGGAACGGACCGTGAATGGATGTGACGTGTGCTCCTCGACGGCTCTCTTCCCAGCACAACAGCTTTGGGGATTATTTGTTTTTTTTTTTTTTGCTGCAACAGAGGAGGGCCACCTGGCCCAAATCAGACTTCACAAGGCTGAGGAATAAGCCTTTCCTGTTTTAGGTCACCGAGATAATGGGGTTTTACAGTTGCACCCGTTAGCATTAATTATCCTGAGTAGTACAGAAAAAAATGAGATACATTGTGTTCCCAGGTTTTTTTTTTTTTTTCATTCTCCAATCAGGGCAGTGTCATATAAAAGAATAAGCTGTTTCGTTTTTTTTTTTTTTGTTCAGTTACAAAAAGTGACAAATGTACATCTGGAGTTTAAAAGAAATAAAGAATGATAAATCATATACATAGAAGATATGATTGAAATCATGTCCATGTAAAAATTTTTTTTTTTTTTTGAAAATAGAAGGAAAGGCAAACATGTGACTTCCAAATTAACCTCAGTTTTTTTTTTTTTTTTGGGAAAGAGCACAGAGGTGCGAAAGGCTTTTATGTGCTGATGTGTGTCCCTGAAAGACCAAGGAGAGCCACCCTTCTGAGCCCCTCCACATAGGACTGTTATGTTTTTTTTTTTTTTTATCTTTATGTGTTAAGCCTCTGAAATTCATTTGTTACAGCAGCTTACCCTCGCCTATCACTAACCTATACAGTTGCTGCTACTGCATCTTTTGGCTGCATCAATATTTTTTTTTTTTTTTTATCCAGGAATCAAGAAAAGACCACCAAAATTACCAGATGCAGAGCCACACTGCGCCTGCTAGATCATCACAAGCAAAATAGATGTGTCACCTGCTTCTGATTCTCCCAGTTAATTCAGTTCCAAACTCAGGCCATACATCTGTGCATCTGATTGGATGAATTTTATAAACATCTGTAATGGCAGCTGAAAGGGCATCTAGGAAATGTGGTCTTTAGCTTCAGCAACCCAAGGGTTGGAACAGATTAGGGATGTGCTGGGGTTTTCTAGGGAGACTATGCAATTGATTTTTTTTTTTTTTACTCTCACATGATTCCCCATGATCACGTGGAAACCATGGGAAACCCTTTTTTTTTTTTTTCCAGCATCTTTCCCTTCCAGTAGTGATGGCTATGAAACTCACTGTTTTTTTTTTTTTTTTAGTCCCTTTTTAAACATTCCTGTCATGGTACCAATCAGATTGTTTTTTTTTTTTTTTTTTGTGGCCTGCAATTCTACTATCATGAGATTATGTGTGATACAGAAGATTTTTTTTTTTTTTCATTACCAGCATCCTTACTAAATTCATCAGTCAATTTTAATATCTCCAGAAGGCACACCTAGCATGGGGCTTCTAATGTACCATTTAATATTACTCACCAGTTCTGTTTTTTTTTTTTTTCCTTTTTTATAGAAAAAGCCAAAATTTTCCAGTTGTCCTCGATAGATTTTTTTTTTTTTTACAGTGTCTAGAAAAATACTTAATAAGCACCCACTATAGCTATTAGTTTTTTTTTTTTTTGCAGACAACAATCTGGTTTATATGGCCTTTACCTTCTGGAGCCTTTTTTTTTTTTTTTTTTTGCTACTTTTGACAACACAAATGTATGTGGCTAAGAAAGACATCTTTTTTTTTTTTTTTTTTTATTTCACGATCCAAGGTAACTTTACTGAAAAGTGACAGTTGAGAGGAGGTGCACAGCAGGTATGAATCTGGGTCTGGGGAGGTGGAGGAGGTGCTCTCTTGAGAAGTTTTGCTAAGACTCCATAGCAGACGTTGTTGGTTCCCACTCATATCCCCTTGGCATTTTTTTTTTTTTTTTTGCAGATGTTGCTCATAAACACCACAAGATTCCTGTATCTCTGCCTGGGGTCTTATCTGGCTGCACTTCCTGACAGAGAACCAACCCTAAGAGTGTACCCTTGTTTTTTTTTTTTTTTTTCCCAAAAGGTAAAATGATGACTTTCATACAAAAATAAAATGAATGTTTTTTTTTTTTTTTATTTAACTCATTGCTTGATGAGGGGACTACTATTAAGATGTTACATTTTTTTTTTTTTTGAACTCAAAATAGCACACATATATCTAGAAGGAGAATCCTGGCATGTTTTTTTTTTTTTTTGCTATCTTGGTCTATTTTATGTTGCTATAACAGAATACTTGATACTTTTTTTTTTTTTTAGAAAAGTAATTTATTTCTTACAGTTCTGGAAGCTGTGAAGATCAATTTTTTTTTTTTTTATCTGACAAGGGCCATGTGCTGTGTCATAACATGGTGGGATCACATGTGAGAGTGGTGAGCAGGTGCTTGCAAAAGAGAAAGAAAACACAAGGGGCGATCTCTCTTTTTTTTTTTTTTTTCTTGCAGTCACTAATTCAGTCTCATGATAGTAAGAACTCACCTCCGTTTTTTTTTTTTTTTCTCTTCTTAACAACGGATCCCTCATGACCTAAATGCCTCTTAAAGTTTTTTTTTTTTTTTCAATGCCATTACACTGGGAACCAATCCTCAAAATGAGTTTTGGTATTTTTTTTTTTTTTAAACTGGTCACTATCCACTGAATAACAGTCAGTTGTATTCACTACATTTTTTTTTTTTTTAATCATTTACATTGCTATCTATTTTCTACAACTCAAAGAGTTGTAAAATAACTCAAGGACAATGAAAGGTGGAACTCACCTGGCTAGATGAGCTAGGTGAGACCACCATTCATCTTTTGGTGCCCATTTCAAACTCATTCACAATTTCTCCTGATGTTCTCAACCATTTTTTTTTTTTTTAATAGAATTTGGTGTCTATATATCACAGCTTCCTCGTCCCTTCATGTTTTTTTTTTTTTTTGTGTTCCACACAGCTTCTCAGAGTGTCCTCAATGAGATTGAGACCTTTTTTTTTTTTTTAGTAAATTCAACAACAAAATTCTTTGACTTTCCTCCCTTTCCCAGCTTTTTTTTTTTTTTCCTCAGAGTACTTCCTGGCATAGCATTTCAAATAAACTTAGACCTATTTTTTTTTTTTTTGTCAGATCTGCAAGGAGCCCAAACTAATACAGATACCCAGTTCGTGAACTTAAGACACTGCCCACAGATTGAAAGAGATTTTTATCTTCAGAACCCACTCTCAGCATTTTTTTTTTTTTTAGTTCCATGATAGGCTCTACCCATTCCTCCCCTCTCCACATCCTCCTTTTTTTTTTTTTTCACCACCACCTCCCAGAAGGTTGCCCCAGCTGATCAGCATCATTTCTTTTTTTTTTTTTTTTAAAAAAAACAGTTAACTCAAGGGAATACTAAGCTTGTCTGTCTGTTTTTTTTTTTTTTCTGGGAACTCTGAGGTCAGTGTGCAGACTTGCAGAGCTCACAGGCGTTCCAATAATAACTAGTTAACTAGTTTGTTTGGAC